GGAATTCTTGGTGTTTGAAGAAGAGGGGGGAAGGAAGGGCAGAGTGCTGCCGGAGGCGTAGCGGAGCCCTGAGTACGGTTGCTCTCCCGTTGATAGCGTTTGGCCCCGGTTTCGTGTTGCGGGATGTGAGGAGCAGTCGCCGTGTCACGTATCCCCCGCGCCCGGCTGGTGGGGATGCTCCGTCAGCCGGATCGAGGAAGTGCTCTGGAGAAAGAAACCTCAAAAAAATGGGCAATTTGAAAAAGCTGGGTTTGTCCCGTAATCCGGGTCACAGCGCGGGGGTATCCCAGACCAGTACTGCATTGAAACCAGTACGGCTCTGAAACCAGTACTGCAATTCCATGCCCAGAGCTCCCAGCTGCAAGGAGGAATGCTTGTCTTGCATCACCAGTGTAGATACCTTCAGCTGAGCTGCATCCCTGGGCTCCTTTGATAGTCAGCAGGGATGGATGGGCACTGCTGGGGGCATTTCACGTGAGCACCTGTAAGTGTGTCTTGGGAGGAGAAGAAAAACCCTGAAAAAGGCTCATTTCTCTGCCCTGCGCTGCAAAGGGAGCCTGTAGCATGAGAGCAAGCAGCCTCACCTTGCACCAGGTGAGGTTTAAATTGGATATTAAGAAGAATTTATTTTCTGAAAGAGCGGTCAGGCATTGGACCAGGCTGCCCAGGGCAGTGGTTGAGTCACCATCCCTGGAGGTGTTGAAAAACCGTGTAGATGTGGCCCTTAGGGATGTGGTTTAGTGGTGGACTTGACCATGTTAGGTTTGCAGCTGGACGCGATGATCTCAAGGGTCTTTTCCAACCTAAGTGATTCTATGATTCTACCACATTTGGTGTGATGAATCCCACCTGACTCTCTGTGAAGTGTTTGCACAGTGCCAGCGTTGTAGATCCCAGATCTGTGAGTCAGACTGTAGGCAGGGTGATGAGAATAATAATAATAATAATAATACTCCTGTGGTTGCTTTCTTAGGGATGAATTTGCCTCAGTAGTCAGTGTTCTTTGGCTAGCCCCTAGGAATTAAACTCATTAAGCTCTGCTTGTTGATGGCCCTTTTGCTTACGGCGGTCTGAGTCTGAGGAGTACCTGCTCGTTGGTGGATGCTCTCCTTGACCTGTTTATC